AAAAACAAAAAGAAAAAAAAAGAAAAAAGGAAAGAAAAGAAAGAAAAAAGAAAAAAATAGATCAGCCATTTTTATTACTGCGCAACACCTTTTCCCTAAGGCTTTAGGGAGTCGGGGAGAGGAGGAGTCTGATCCCTCTGTATTCATTTCTTTTTCTTTGTGAGAACATTTCACCTGCTGAGTGTCTCTGAATTTGCTTTCTATAAAAAGGCTTTTATGAGTTTACAGCAGGATCAGCGGAAGGAAGAGTTAATAAGGGCTGTTTTTAAAAAACAAACAAAACAAACAATTAAAAAAAAAAAAAAAACACCAAACATCTTACATTCCTTCCTGTTCTCTACCGACACTGGGAAGTGTACTTTGGAAAAGTCGGCAGTGCGGCCGGGGACAAAGGCAACCCGCGGAAGGTCCTCTTAGTGAACAAATTCAGTTAGTAACTTTATAGCTATGAAATCCCCCAGGCATTTGTTTTTGTTCAAACAGACTTTACCCCTGCATCAAACTTAGCCCTGCGACATGCGTACAGTATGCATATTTTGTTTTGAATAAAAAAATGTTTCGTTCCAGTCTGTTAAGAATATTCAAAAAATAATAAAGGTATTGCTTAATAAAATTGCTAGAATTGTTTAGCAGTACATGCACAAATATTTTACTAGATTCTTTGTTTTAATAGTGTTTTGTTGAGACTGAAAATCCTAAAATGGTCTGCGCAAATACAAAAAAAAAAAAAAAGCAAAAATCTCCAGTTTTTGTTCCTTTTTTGTTTTAAGGAAGTTTTTCCTGCAAGTACAAATCGAGTCACACATGCACACGCATAGACCCGTGGAATACTGTATTTCATTTGCGGAAATATGGAGATTTTCTGGGGACAGATGTGGAGAGGCGAGCTGCTCGGGGGGACACACGGTCTGCAGTGACTTGCTGCCTGCACACACGCGGGCACGGGGCCTCCACAGCCTCGCCAGGGGCCTCACGGATTCAGTGGAGCAGCAAGGAAGTGGACAGGAAGGTTTGTCTGCGCGGCTGTGGGCAGGTGTCCAGGAGACACTGCTTAGGACCCCTACCTGGCTGCTGAGAGGCCACACCGCACCGCATTCCTGCAAGTCTCCTTCTGCTCTGTCTGGTTCTGTTCTTGGTGACAAAGGCAGCTGGAAAAGGGGCCATCGTGCAAACCCCTCTGTGTGCTAGGACAGTTAGCTACTCTATCCAAATGCTGGGAAGAGTAGTGGAAATCAGCACTCTTGCAAAAAGAGTTTTTCGCTTTCTCTTAAGATCTTATGCAACTGATTAAAGTTTTTTTTCCTATATAAGAGGATTGAAATTTCCACTTGCTCATGGTTTAGCCTTTGTTTAGAGAAAATAGCAAGCTAAAGATGAGAAACAAAAGCCACTGGATTATATGGGAGGTTAGCCCCAAAAGATAATTTTAAAATTTAGGAGAAACCAAGCAGGGTTAATGAAAATAAAAAACTGAAGTGGGTAGGGATCCATTGGTCTCTTGGTGGTCCCTCGGAGAAAATGGCCTGAGGACTTAGAGAATAAAGCAAGAGATAATGGCTGAGTTTAGGCAGTGGCCCATGCCTGATTGGCAAAGGACCCCAGAACAACAGTAGGGCCTTTACTTATACCTTTGCAAAGTTACAAAACACAGGTTGCCTAGAGACTAATAGCCCACAAGGTCCAGGCAGGACGTTTTTCTCAAGACTGAGGTAGGTTGACTGCTTTAGGCAACGAGCCTCATCCTGCCCTCCCACAGAGCACCAGTTTCCAGCTTGGCAGCTCCCAACAGGAATGTTGGCAAGAAGGAGATAGGACCTGCAGCCTAGAGAAAGGACTCTCTCCTCTCCAGCGGTTCAGCCCATCCCAGAGCAGCCTGCATTTGCCACAGGATGTTTTCTCTAGCCTTCCCTTCTATAGCTGTAATCCAAGGGATGACCACAGTGCCTGGCGTGTGCTATCGCACGTGCATAGCCCTGTCCCAAGACATGCCCCTGGCACTCCATGAAGAAGGTGGGTTAATGGGGTTCTACCCAGGCAACAGCCCCATTATACAGCAGAGAAACCACCTCCTAA